ATATATATATATATATATATCATAAAAATAATAAATATTACTAAATTATATAAATTTTAAACAAATAATTGATCATGCAATAAAAACTACGAATTTGAGATTAACTTTAATCAAACAAACTGTGCATAAATATATATACTTTATTCAACACACTATAGCAAAGATCCTTACACGCGATGTATAATTTTAATTTCATTGAAAATAAAATTAAAAAAAAAAAAACAAACCAGACACTTACCACACATATACAAACACGCACGAAAAACCATCAAAAACTATTTTCATCGATTAGAACGTCATTTTTCTCAATGATAGTAAAAAAGAAAACTTGTTCGCGTGCGTGCGTGCGTGCGTGCATGTTTACTACTAACGTATATAAATGTATATATATATGTATACGTTTGCATGTTTTCAGTTTTATTAATAATTTATGCCGTTACTACCTAAAGATATGCAAGATAGTCGATAACAGGCTTAAAGGCTTAAATCGTTTACCACGTTGTTCTGCGTTATGTTGCCCATTATGTGCAGTTAAGTCTTAAGTATAGCATCATAAAACAAGTGATTATCCCTTCGACAGGAATACAAGCGATCATAGCCTGCCGCCCGTCATTACGACTCGACGTTCAATTAGGCCTTGAAAGACTTAATCATTATTTGCACCAAAATACGAGTCTTCGTTGAACGCTTCTTAATTAACCACTTTTGCTACGTAACACACAAGCTTTCCATTTCGGAGAAATTATCATTGAAAAGAGAGAGAGAAAAAAACAAGGGGTTCGAAAAAAAAAACCATTTAACTTATCCTTTCATTTTTTTTTCTTTATTTCTTTACTTAAACTCTTTACTACTCAACTTTACTTTTGTTTTGGTTTGATTTGCTTTGTTTTACTATGGCTCATTTTAGTTCACTTGTTTTATATTCTTTCTTCTTTTAGTGTTGTTTTGTTTGATTTTAATACTTTCTTTTATTTTTGTTTTGTTTTGTTTTGTTTTCTTTTCTTTCGTTCAAACTCCCCTCCCTTTCTTCTTCTTCTTCTTCTTCTTCTTCTTCTTCTTCTTCTTCTTCTTCTTCTTCTTCTTCTGCTTCTGCTTCTCCTCCCCCAATCCAAAGAACGAGAATTTATTTACATAAATCGAATCCTACTCAACTACTCGATTATATAGGTATTACTACTACTAATACTACTACTACTACTACGTTGGTTGGTTCAAAGAAACAACACGAGGGAATCTTTTTAAACCTTTTTGTTCTTAGTTGCTTCTCTGATTTCTTTTCATTCTTTTTCTTCTTCATAATCATCATCTTCTTCTTCTTTTCTTGACCTTAGTATTTTTATTAATTAGTGATATATATTTTGTAAGATAAATGATTGTTATATATACGTATATATTACATATATATATATATATATATATATATATATATATATATATATATATGTATATATGTTATGTATGTATGTAATATTTTGTTCAAGTGGAATAATTAAGTGTCAGTATGTAATTGTATTTTGTCAGCTCGTATAATGCTACGTAGATTTACTGTTAATTTGGTTTTATTATTTATTCGATAATTTGTTATAAATATTGGGAATTCGTGAGTGGAGATGGGGTGGGAAGAGAAAGGGAAGAAAAGACCATTTATTTTATCGAAATTATTATGTTTCTTTTTCTTTAACATTCGTTCGTTTAAAAATTTCGTATTTCTTTTTTATGAGTGACGATAATATAATTTATTTCTTTTTCTAAACATAAAAAATGTATATTAAATAATAATAATAATAATAATAATAATAATAATAAAATATAAAGATATGAATGAAAGCTAAAATTATATAAATAATTGTTTGAAAATTAATATCTAACCATAGAAAATGAATATTAATAATAATAATAATATTGATATATAATATATAAATATAATTGTAATTATTAAAATAATTTAAATTAAATGATAATAAAATTAATTAATCATTTAATTAATTTATTATTATTTAATTAAATTAAATTAAATTAAATATAATAATTTAAAATGAATAATTTTCATTTATTATTATATCTTACCATATATTATAGAAAATAATAAGAATAAATAATAAACCCTATTATAGAAAATAAAAATTAATAATAATAATAACAATTTTAAGATATAATATTAAAATATAATTTTCAAATTATTATTTTACCATATAGAGAATAAAAATTATTAATAATTATAATAAAATATAATAATATGAATAATAATTAAAATTAATGAAATAATAATTTTGAAAATTATTACATGAAATTATTAATGAAAAATGCAAATATTTGTTAAAGATTTTTAACGACATTTTATTTTATTTATTTTTTTAAAAATTTTTTTTGGTTTTAGTTTGTGACTTGTAAATTAATCGACGAAGTTTATCAATCGAAAGTAGGAAATTTGTTCGAGTCAGATATGGAAACGTGGAGTAAGTTTAAAATCGAATTAACAAAATGGGCATGTTGGATTGGACACAAAAGTTGTTTAAAATATCTCAATGATTTTGTTGAACAATTATTACAAAATGATACCATTGTCAAGTACGTATAACATACACGATTATTAATATAAAAATTATTATAATAAAAATTTATCGATATAAATATTAATATTAATATTAATTTAATATTTAATTATTTTATTAAAAAAAAAAACTTCCAAATTTGTTAACGTTAATGTTAATGATTATTTGTTATTATTAAAATAAATACTTTGAATAATATTAATAATATATATA